CCCCAAAACCCCAAAACCCCGGTTGATATTATTTAATGAAATTAAGAAAACAAAATTTTTATCTTAAATATAAGTTAGCACAAAATCACTTTAGATTCCTAATTGAGTTCATAAGACTTTTCTTATAAAGATTATTGTCCATAGTTGAAACCAATTTCTTGAGCTAAGAAATGTCTTGATTATCCCCAATGTTTCTTCCATTAATAACTTATCTGCTCTGACCTTATGAACTTGGGATAATCGGCTAGTTGTTTATGTTACTGTTTTCATTTAGCTTTTTAAGGCTTTAAGTTGTTTGATTAATATTAACCAGAGACCTGTCAAATCTAGACTGCATAATATAATCTTCATCGAGATATGAACCACGTTCCACACTTGAAGCTCTATCACTTGTTAAATCGTTATTGGTAATGTTATTCTTAGTCCTAGAAATTTTCTAGTCACCTTAGTTTCTTGTTTTACTATTCCCTCTGCCAGTATTATTGCCGCTCAGAACAAAATTAATTGAAGACTCAAATGGAGCCACATTCAACCCTCCTAGGTCATATTAGTATGAGCTATCTTTATATATTGAGTTATTGATGCTTCTATGAGTTTGACTTTTACTGTCTTTCTTCTATTAGTTTCCATTTATATTCGCAGACAACTGTTAGAAATTTACTTTCTTTTTGTTTTTATCTAACAGCACCTACATTACATTTGACTGCTGCTTGTCTCTGATGATGTTTAGCTTGATTAGCCTACTTGCTTTATCCTAGGAAGGTTCTTTCTTGAATTTGCTTTTGACGTTTTGATCTTGGCTCATACTATGCTACATTTGATAAAACTCCTAATATTTTTCAAGCAGCACCTTATCAAATTAGATTTCAGTTGGACTTAACCTTAGTTGCTGGAACTCCTTATCCAAGTTATTTTAGTGCTCGTTGTTTTCTATTGTATCCAAATTTTTGAAAGAATTATTAGTAACAATACTTAGCTTCTTCTTTATCCTTTGACTACCTTTAGATTGGCCTCTCTTATATTCTATTGTTCCCTAAGGAGTATTTTTCATCAAATCCTTTTTCATGATTTTTTCTCTAAACCTCTTTACAATATTTTTCTTATCATTATTTTAGGTAAGGTTGAGTTAGTCTAAATTTCTTACAGAGTCTTCTCCACTGATAATTGTATTGCTAATTTTAGGATCAATATTTGGTTGTTTCTGATACAGTTATTATAATGCATAGTTAGCCAACTAAATATCAATATTCTCAAGACTTCTTTGAAACTTCACATAATCTTTAGCATAGCTCCTATCTAGCCTGTCATGCACTCTTTAAGTTGCTATTTCATGCTGCTTTTTCTTGTTATCAAAGGTATGCTAAGCTTTGTCCATTAGCAGTTGCAATCTATCCTTTTGTAAATGTCTTAGCTCTTAAGCCGATGACTGATTAGCTCTTTTAAATCTATAGTAAAAACTGCTTGAAGGGTGAGGGTTTTTGTTATTAAGAACACAAGATGCAACTAATCTAGATAATTTCATTTAATTTGGCTGGTTCTAATGAGCTAGTCCTAGCTGCTCTTGCTTATTTAGATCATAGTTATAAGTTCGAGGAGGAGAGTACTTGGATTTCTGAGGAATCAAGGATTTCTTTTTTTAATGTGATAAGGGTCTTGAGGTCTGAATGGCATATTAAGTGTTTTAAAATTCATCTACTTCATAAATGAAGAAAGAAGATTTTCAGCGGTGTTTCAGCAGAGGTAGATTCTGACTGCCCTCCTGTATTGTACTCAATGCTTGATTGAAATCTTGCAACTATTTTGACACATCCTTAAATATTGTAAACTTTTTTTAATAAGTTACTTTAACTGTCTTGGGATCTAGAGTTTGAACCAAAATACTTTTCCTGAAAGAGTCCACATTCCCGAAGGATTTCTTAGCTTCTTTCCATTTCTTTTTAATTTGATGCTCGTCAGGATAAACTGACTGGTTTAATTTCTCTGGCATTTAAAACTAAATAGATGATCTCGTGGCTGATTCCATTGAAAGCTGATTAATTTATAAATACTTAATTTGATGCACATTGAATTATAAATTGATGATTTCTTTTTTACTAGGATTTTCCTTTTAGGGGTTTTGGGGTTTTGGGG